AAGGAATAGAAAGAGAAATGGAGTTTAGCAGGGGAAGACAGGCTTCCGCGAGAGAGTGTGGAAGGGGACTCCAGAGGGAAAATCCAGGACAGAGAAAAACAGCTTCCAAGAAGGGAGTGTTCGTGGAAGGGGATCCAAACATGGAGTCCCTTAATCACTTTTTCTTCAGCTGAGAGGTCACAGCAAAATATAGTTAAAGCCACCTCAGACATTTTTATTACGTTATTTATACACTAAGTCTTCCAGGTACATCTGTTGTTAACATGAGAGAAAAATACTTCCCTCCAAAAAAAAATTTAGTTATCAAATAAGTGGTTACCAGGGGCCAGAGTGAGGGGGATACGGGAAGTGACTGTTGAAGAAGTTTTTTTTGGCGGGGCATGATGAAAATGTTCTAGCATTGTGTAGTGGTGATGGTTGCACAACACTGAGAACATACTAAAAGTGGCTTTTAAATGGTGAGTTTGTGGTACGTTTATTTTTTTTGCTGACTTTTTTTGAGAGTACATAGTAGGTATATATATTTACGGGGTACATGAGATGTTCTGACACAGGCATGCAGTGCATAGTAATCACATCATGGAGAATGGGCATCCACGCCCTCAAGCATTTATCCTTTGTGTTACAAACAATCCAATTACACTCTTAATTATTTTTAAATGTACAATTAAGATATTACTGGCTCTAGTCACCTTGTTGTGCTATGAAACAGAAGGTCTTCATTCTTTCTATTTTTTTGTGTCCAATGACCATCCTCACACGTCCTCCCCATATCCCTGGTACATTTATTTTATCTCATTATAAAAATAGTTTTCAAAAATAAGTTTTCAAGATTAGAAGTAAAAGGCATTTCAATGTGTTTTCGAATGCAACATAAACCTAAGGAATTTTAGTAGCAATATTACAAAGTCACAATTAATTGTGTGCCCCTAAGTTTTGCCTAGGTCTCCCTCCTGGCTGAGGACACAGGGCTCAGGGAGAGCAAATGACAAGGCACCATCAATGAATGAAGTCTAGAAAAACCAGCTGGAGAAGAAGTTAGGTGCACAAGGCCAACCCTATGGGTAATATGCTACAGTCTATATATAGGAGATAAAAGCTAAGGCCAACTGTATCACATGTGTTTTTACTCCTAGGACTGAAAAATTCAAGCATTTCCACTGCCACCAATCTTCTCCAAGGTACAAGTGCAGCAGCACCACAGGAACAGTGGGAACTTTTCCTCAGCAGAAATGTCATTTATGCACCAGACAAAATTATTGTGGCTGTGGGAATCATAACCTGAGTTTCCTGGATTTCAAATTAAAAAAAGAAAAAATCTCAAATGTAAAAATCTACTGGCAGCCTGTGCCCCCATTTAACAAAACACAAAAGTCTGTTTCTTTTTCTCAGCACTATTTCATGAAATTAGCTCCCTCACCAGAACTCAGTCTCATTAAGAGCTTTCCTTGGGTTCTGTGCTTTCTGTTTATTAAGGACAAATGGCTCCAGCATTATCCTCAGAACACGATGCAAATAAATCTGTTCTTTGACAAATACGTTAATTGAATTAGATTCTTTTAATCAGAAAGTATTAACCAATTGAAATTTTGCTGTATGACTCCAGTTCCCAAAACTCTGGAAGTCTCTTTTGAAGCCCTCATAGAAAAAGCCAGGTGCAGAGCAATGCCTCTTCCCACGAGGCTCTCCCAAGGGTGCCAACCAGCTCAGGAGGGCTCTGATGTCTGGGAAGTCAGCCTGCTTCTGTGCAAGCAAATGAAACACAGAGAGAAAGGGCCAACTTCCAGAGGCAAAAGTCCCTAATTACAGGTGTCCCAGCTGAAAATTAACAAACCTGCTACTTCTGTGAAACACAGAAAGCAACAATGGTGGCTACTGGTCAGGGGTAACTATGTCTTTTGTGACATTACTACCCCTGCTCTCAACTTTCTGGTCACAAAGCGAATATACAAGCTTCGAGGGTACTTTTACCATCTGCTTCAACTTCCTCATTTAACAAATGAGAGAAAAGCAACGTATCCCAGGTCACAACTACATTAGAGACAGCAGGACACACACCTGGCCCTGACTTTCCTCTGAGGCATTTGCCTATAAACTTGTCCTAAGAAAGTTGTCCCGTCTCTTATCACTCACATGGCCTCAGCATACATTTGCTCTATTCTCTCTGCACATTTTGATTATTTTTCTGATCCTCTGTCTGCCCACAAAAATGGAATAAGAATCTGAGGATTAAGGACTGTAAGCATCTAACTATTAACTAGCACACTTTCAGACGATGTGTTGAGGCTTCTGCCTCTCCCTGGGACAACCTCTGGACCACAAATGCAGGGGTGCAAAAAGTGCCTACTAAATATTTATAGAACACGTGATGCCTTTCAGTTCACTAGTTCCGAAAAGTAACAGACACATCAGCAAAACCTGCTGTTCAAAGCCTGGATGACTAGAATCATGTGGTTGGGGCTACTAAGTCTTCTGCCTTCATTGGTTAGGATGGGGAAGGTGGTTTTTTGGCTGTAAAATGATGCTCATCCGCTGCCTGCTCTGTTGTTTTCTCCCTTGCCCTCTGCACGGTCCACTTGGGAAATACAGAAAGGGCATGAAGGATTATCAATTATCCAGCTGCCCAGATGTCACACTGCTAACCTAACTTTTGCCGGCACTGAATCCAGGCATCCAGTCTAAGAATGGAAAACACAGGCACCTCAGAGAAAACCAAGATAAAGACCCTTCAGTTTCTATCGTCTCAGAGAAATCACTGACCAAGCCAGATGGTGCCCAACTTCAGGCCAAAGAGCTGGCTGCCAGTGCTAACCTGCATTTTCCAAACTGAATCCAAACAGGGAGTAAAATTTTTTTTTCTCTTGCTTTAAATATTTCAATGCTGTCTAATGGAATAGCAGGAACAAGGCCAAACAGCCCCACTTCTCTTGGCACTTGGGCCAAGGAACAGAAATGTATTTTTAGTCAGCAGAGCAAGGTGCAATTAGAAGTGCCACAGGCCCGTGGGGCAAGCTGGAGGTCCTGCCTGCCTCTGGCACAGCATGGTTGAGAGTCACCTCCCATGCTCCTGCCCTGAGTGCATGGGGTTAGATAAAGGAGTGATGCAAAGGTATTTGTGTCCAGTCTCACTTCCACCTCTCACTTTTGCAACTTAGAAGAGCTCCACAGAGGCTCAGTTTCTTCTCTGATTAACACAGAGATATTCTCTGAGGCCCTAGCTTCCTCACCATGTGAGGAACAAGAGAAGTTACATCAGCATTTCTCCAACTTGAACTCATGGACCAATGGCCAGGGCTCTTGTTAAATGAAGCTTCTGATCCAGTAGGGTTGGAATGAAGCCTGAGGTTCTATATTTCTAACAAGCTTGAAGCGAACTCAATACTAATGGTCCACGACCCGGGCTTTAAGCAGCAAGGAGCTCCCAGCATCTTCAGGAGCTTTGCTTTATGGACACACAACAGGTTATCACAACCCCATTAGCCTCACATAAAATGGACTCATCGATTAAGCCGAAAATTAAACACCTTCCAGATGCTGGGCCCACAGACCAAGTGGGTACAAAATAAAGTCAGACCTTTGCCTACCCATCAAGGGAACAAAAGGCCTCAAACCTACCTTCCAGCACTTCATGGGAATAAGGACTGACTCTTAAGTCCTGTGGCTTTAACGGTGAGATCTGTCAAGATCTAAGGAGCTACGTGACAACCAGCCACCAGCCAATAATGGTAACCACCATTTGTCAAACACACACGATGATGGGAGCTTCATATACATTCCACTCCCTGGGCCTCACTCTCCTCATGTATAAAATGGGTCAAAAACGCATTATGTAAATGAGGGAAATGAGATTCAGAGAGACTGGGCATCTGTCCAGGGCACAGAGAATGAATTGCAATGTAATTGCAGAGATGTAACTTCTCTTGTTCTAACCCCCCAACTATCTCCTGCAATCCCACGATGCCGTGAAGAGTTAAGCCCAAGACCGTGTTTCACGGGGACACAGCACCTCCTGAACACAGGGTGTGCTGCCAGCAACGATCCGAGATCTGTAAGTTATGCCAGCACTCTTATTAATAGCACCTTCCTGCAAAGTTTCTCTGCTCAGCCTGCTGAGCCTCAGCATCGAGAAAAGATTCATACAGGTAAGCAAACGAATTATAAAACTAGCAAAATCAAAATAAAATTAAACTATGCAAGCCTAGGGTGGAAACAGGAAATTCAGTGTGAAAAGGGAGGTGCTCTGCTGGGGAAGCTGCCAATAAAATCTGGCAGAGAAAATTGTTGGACTCATGGTTGGTTTATCTGGAAAATCTTCTGGGTGAGTTTAAAACAAGCAAGCTCCTCCACCTGACTGCTGAAGAAACAGGGGTAGGACCAGTGCTCAGTTCTCTAGCAAAGGCTTATCACAGCACAAATGATAGTATCCCCAATGGGTACCTTCCTTTCTTTTTAGCTAAGGTCCTTAATTTGCTTTTTCATTTCCAATATGCTGTCTATAACAAACAGATAGCATCTTACCTAACATTTGACCATGACAACATTCTTTCATGTTGATTTCAGAGGCCTGGGGGCACGTTCTTTTTCTTAAAGCCATAAAAGTTTACCAAGTCACATTACCAAATTCACTGGCACAAAGATGAGGTTGCTGTCTTATAATTCACACAACCTCCTTTAACTCCAGTTTTATTCAAAGTTGCAGCTTAACCAATCACAGAAGCAAGAAGGCTAGTTCCATGTACCTCTGGGCATTTAAAAAAAAAAAAAAAAAGACCTATTTCCTTGCAAATTAAAGATACGGTAAAACTTCCAGCTTTTAATTCTGCAAACCCTAAAACAGCAAGCAAAGCATTTGTCATGATCATTAGGGCCACATGAAGAAAGGTCTTTCTTCACCAGTGAGCACATGAACTCAAGTTCTTCTGCCACCAAATATCAGGGCAAGGTGACAAACACCATGGCCCCACCACGCAGCCCAGAGTCCCCCAAATGGCACCACTTACAGAAAGAGAGAGACGACATGCGATGAAGCAGCACCCAGGGATGGCACGGCTGTCAACTCATTATTATTGAGGTACCTGTAACAACAACAAGAAATTAATCACTTAAAGCGTTTAAATTAGTCTGAAATCATATGCATAAAAGAGAAATTAAAAAAAAAAACACTGCTGAGTCTGCCACGGTAAACCTATATTCTAATTTTGGAGAAAAGAGAAAGAATTTAGCAGTATTTAAAGGGAAGGAAGTCACATGAGGTCACAAAAACTAGCCATTGATCATACCCATGGCTAGAAATAAACACCAAGGGGAAGCATATCATGTCTCCTATCAGCTTCCCATTGAGCTCAGAAATCACGACAAGGAACAGCAAGAACAAGCCAAGATGCAGGTTCAGACAAAAGTGCCCCTAAGACCATCGGTGAGAACACTCCCCGTGGGCTGAAACCTGCCCTTGCCAAGGGCAACATGTGTGGAACAAGAGCCAGAGACTCATGCCCTGGCTCACATGCAGTTCTGGGGGTCTTGGTACACGTGGGGCCAATTATTTCAGTGCTTCATCTGTGAAATATCAAGGGAAATGGACTCGGAGACTCTCTTCTATTTGAGGTTCCAGCTGGACTCTGATGCAGCCTCTGGATGCAGCTCCCAGGAAAATGAACGTATGTGCACACACTTTTGTGCACAGAGACTCTGAAAATTCTCCACAGACGAGATTTGCTCTCCAAGCTCCCTTCCTGCTCAAATAGTCTAAATTTGTATTTCCACAGTTAATACCTCCTAACTGAAGGGGAAGCCCATGAACCACAGCATAGCTTGCCTGGTCTGCCCCCAGAGGCTGTGCAATCTGGCCTCCTTACATGGACATGTATTTCCAAATCTGGGAAGAGAATCCAAAATCAGACTTGCAAAGTGAGCCTAACAATCCTTAAGAAAACCAAAGCACAGTGTTCAGGCTTTCTGCCAGGTGATGGACTAGAAAGAAACTGTATTTGCAATGCAAAGTCAAGAGGATAAAACTGGATTCTCTTAATCTCAGTTTTTTAAGGGAGGTATGTGTAACATAGAGCATCTTGTTTCTGTTTGAAGACAAGGCAACTGAAATGACAGCTGTACTCATACAAGTATACAGCTAGCATGTGCTTGAACAGAATAATCTGGTTGTCTGCTATCTTTTATAGAAATGAATAGGAGAAGGGAGGAAAAAAAAAAAGGAAAGGCCTTGAATTATCCCATTTTCTTTCTTCAGTGCCAAAGCCAGTTAGGGATGAAGCTTGGCAATTACTGGGCTGTGGGACACAGAATGCCTGTTTCAATAGCTTCATGGCTGAAGCATCTGGCAGAGAGCAGGCAGATCCGTATCATGTGGCAAATCCTTTCTCCACTTAAAGGGCCCTTGTTTGTGTGTTGAAATAGACAATTAATTACTTTAACAGTCTCTTATCTGACTGCCCCTTAAATCAGATTGTTTCTGCTTCACCTTTTATCTCCTCCAACCCTGCTGTGATCCATTTCCCATCCTCACTCAGGGACACTGAAAACTCCCCATTAGTCTTAATCTCAGCTAATAAATTTTCACGGTACCCATCAATGCACCTATTATTACGAGAGACCCCCAGGTTTTATCAGAGCAAGAAAAACTAAGGTCAGAACCTGCTGCCAATCAGGCAGCTTGCCTAAGAACTCCTCATTGCTTAGCGATTTATTCTAAAACACAGAGGATGGTGGAAACAAAAACAAAAGCAGGTAAATTAATGAAGGCTGACTATCTGCCAGGCACAGGTCTAAGAGCTTTTCAGTATATTAATGCGTCTTTACAGCCCTAGGAAGTGGGTCCCAGGAACATTCCCACAGCACCAATGAGGAAACTGAAACACAGATGTTAAGTAATTTGACCAAGGTCACCAGCAGTTAAGTGGCAGTGGCCCAGGATGGCTAGCCCCAAAGTCTAAGTTCTTCCTCATTACCTTCAATTTCCTTATTACAGCAAAAACTCGACATGCCTCATGCACTTTCACCATCACAGCAACTTGGAGTCAGGTACCAGGTAACTACTACCATTCTCTACATTACAGGTAAGTTCTCCAGACCAGTTTAAGTCACCAGTCTAGGGTCACACAACTAGAGAGGACACAGTCAAGAGCTAAAAAAAGTATGACTACAAACCAGAGGAGAGCAACGGGCTCAAAGGCCAGCCGGAAAGCTCATAATCCCTTAGGTAACAGTGCAGTTGTTTTTTACCCAGTTTAAGATCTCACTTGATTTTAAATCTGAAACAAAGAGTAAGGACTTCTCTGCAGGGGGCTATGCCTGATGAGCCTAACAAACTGCTCCACCCAATTTCACAGAAGTAAATGAACAAGGGCAAGGGGCATCATGATATTTTTAATCATGACAGAACTGCTGCAAGTGGAGCATACAAGGGTGGTGGACCGCTGCTGGAACTTATCTGGGCCTCGTATGTCTAGATGAGCAGCCCCACGCCAAGAGACTCAGTCAGAAACAGTGGGCTCTGATTGCAACAGGGCTGCCTGACTTACAGAGAGGACAGTTGGAGCCCCGAGGAGATGCTCTGCACCATGAGCTTACTTCCAGATCATTTCTACTGAAAAAATAACCGCTGTTCAGAGTAAGTCTGTTAGCTCCACCACTGCTGGCTCCCTCTTTGTTCACTCTGTCCCCTGTTGAAACAAGAATACTCTTCTCAGAAAGCAGCAGAGGCCCAGCTCACTCTGAGATGCAATGAACTCCTTGCCAGACTGAAATAGAGACTGGTCAAAAATAGCACAGCTGCAGCTTCGAGGGGAAAGGCACTCAGGAAGTTTAGCAGAGTCTCCATGAATAAGAAAATTTTAGGAATTAAAGGTTGTGCCTGGTGAAATTTTTTAAAATATCTACAATTGTACAGTCTTCTATCCTTTACCCCCTATACACCATCCCTCCCCAATTTACTTCCCCTGACCCCCATCTCCCCGCAAAATTTACTTCCATCCAAAGCCCTAAAAATCTCTCCAAAATGTCTGGCCTCTATTACTAAACCTTTTCTTGATGATTCAGGATTAAGAAGTGCCTCAGATGCATCAGACCATGAATCATGGCCGGACCCTGGGGGTGGGTCCTTTCCCAACTCAACCCATAAGGCCAGCTTGGACCGTCTGGTCCCTCAGCTTTCTTCCAAAACTTCCATTTAATTGGCTGAAAGGAAGTTTTACATTTTGTAGGCTGCAAAATGTGAAAAAGGATATTTCAGAGTACTCTATCATCATCATCATCTTAATCAATCTTAATCAAATTTGGCTTCAACTAACAATGTCAAACCAATGCAGAAATAGTGGTTTTGTTTTTTTTTTTTTTTTTTCTTTTTTGAGATGGAGTCTCATTCTATGGTGTCCCAGGCTGGACTGCACTGGCGCGATCTTGGCTCACTGCAACCTCTGCTTCCTGGGATCAAGCGATTCTCCTGCCTCAGCCTCCTGAGTAGCTGGGATTACAGGCACGGGCCATCATGCCCAGCTAATTTTTGTATTTTTAGTAGAAATGGTGTTTCGCCATGTTGGCCAGACTGGTCTTGAACGCCTGACCTCAGGTGATCTGCCTGTCTTGGCCTCTCAAAGTGCTGAGATTACAGGAGTGAGCCACCGTGCCCAGCTTTTTCTTGCTCTATTTATTTACTTATTGAATAGCTGGTATAAACACAGAATAAAGTTTTCAAACCATTTCAAAAAAAGAATGCAAAGTGAAAAATAAAGCTTCCTTGCAGTTCCATCCTCTGGTCTGCCTCCAAAGAGCAGCTGCTGCTACTAGCTACTAGAAATGTATATGTGTCTTTCTTTTCCACAAATGCATGTGTATTAAACAGACGGTTGAATACCGCCATTTCTCTTTAGTAATATACCTTGGAGGTCTCCACTGTTCTTTTAACCAGTGGCACAGTAGTCCTCTGCTGGTATGATCAAACCATAATTTGTCTAGCCAATCCACTATTGGTAGACATAGAGGCTGTTTTTTGATTGCTCCCAAATACAGACAGAGCTGCAATTAATAGTAGTCAAAGTCGGGCAGGGGTTGAAACTGCAGCTGGTTTTGTTTCTTAAAAGGTAAATGCCATCAGTATCAGGTAGAAATACGGGTTTCGGAAGCAGGGCCACTTAATCAGTAAGTGTTATTTTGCTTTAGTTACTAGAGAATAATGTATAAACTAGTTGATTTGCTGAGACTTTATGATATGTGGTTTCTACACAAGATGGCCAGATAAAATTACTTTAGTATAGGATATAATTACTTTAACAAAATAATCAATATTAAAGGTGAACATTTACTATGTGCCAGACTCTATTCTAAGTTTTCTATGTGCAATATCTCACTCAATGATATGCTAACGCTTTGAGGAAAGTACTAAATTATCACCTCTCTTAAGAAAGGAAACTGAGGCACAGTTATAAAGCAGGGATTATTACGATGGGATTATACAGCTCAGATGTTTAACTCAGATCTCAGTTCAATCAACTTCAATTCTACCCCTTATCAATCCAATGCTAAGTATGCCACTCAGCCTTGCTGTCCCTTACTTTCCACTTCTCAAGAATGTAAATAATACAATTACCAGCTTTGTAGGGGTTTGGGAGGATCCAGCTGAAATAACTAAACCTAAGATCTGAGGATATAGACAGATACACAGGATATGCTTAAGAGGTGGCAGTAGGGCCAGGGGTGGCGGTTCACACCTGTAATCCTAGCACTTTGGGAGGCCAAGGCAGGAGGATCACTTAAGCCCAGTAGTTTGAGACTAGCCTGGGGAACATGAGGAAACACTGTGTCTACAAAAAATACAAAAAATTAGACAGCAGTCGTGGTGCATGCCTGTAGTCCCAGCTACTCGGGCGGCTGAGGTGGTAGGATCGCTTGAGCCTGGGAGTTCAAGCATGCAATCAGCTATGACCATATCACTGTACTCCCACCTGGGCAAGAATGAGATCCTGTCTTTACACCACCACCATAAAAGAGATAATAGTAAATCACAGCCAAAAAGCAGTACCCCAAAATGACAACCCTCATTATTTCACCCTCTCCCTAAACATAC